TGTACCACCTAGCTGCCCCGTGGCAAAAAACTAGAAACTAAGGAGCACCTATCAGTTGGGGAATGTGCAAACAAATTATGGTATATGGATGTAATGGAACAGTATCATATCACAAGAAATTGTGAAGGGGACAGTTCTGGAGAATTATGAATACCATTTTACCATAAGAAATTATGAAGGGGATAGTTTCAGAGAAACTTGGGAATACTTGTGGAAGCTGATTCAGAGTGAAATGAGCAGGACAAAGAGAACGACTTATATAGTAACTACAACACTCTAAAGACAAAGAATTGTGAAAGACTGAAGTGCTCTCATCATCACAATGACCAGCCACCATTCCATGTGACCAGTGAAAAAACATGCTGCCCATCTCTTGTCAGGGAAGTGATCAAAGTTAAGGTGCAGACTAAGAAATATATTTTGTAGACATGGCCAAAATGGAAATAAGTTTTGCTTGACTAATGCATATTTCTTAGAAGACTTTTGTTTGTGTGTGTGTGTGTGTGTGTGTGTGTGTTTTTTAACATAGAAGGGCAGGCTATTGGTGGGAGAAAGAGAAAACACATTTCTTTATTGAAAAAATGTAATTTAAAAAAAGAGGGGCAGCTAGGTGGTGCAATGGATAGAGCTTTGGCCTTGGAGTCAGGAGGACCTGAGTTCAAATCCAGCTTCAGACACTTCACACTTACTAGCTGTGTGACCCTGGGCAAGTCACTTAACCCCAACTGCCTCATCAAAAAGCAGCAAAATAATAATAATAATAAAATAATAATAATAATAATAATAATAATAATAATATAGTCCCAGCACAAATCCAACACCTGAATTTCCTTTCCTTGTCTTATGTATATCATGAAAATAATAATTAGAATAATATTAACAACAACAATACATTTACATAATCCTTGCAAAATGTTTTTATCATAACTCCCTCTGAGCTAAGTTGTGTATTATTATTCCCATTTTATAGTTGAGGAAACTGAGACTCAGAAAAGTGAAAGAATGTAGCCTATGATCACTTATGTAGTAAATTTCTTTTTTTAATTAATTTAATTTAATTAATTTCCTTTTAATTAATTAATGTTCTAGATTTTTAATAAAACCATATTTATTGGATTTTCTTATTAGGCACAATATGTTAATGTTTACTTCAAAATCCATGTAGGATAAGGGTTCTTAATGGGAGATAAGTTAACGTGTTTTATAAATGATTTTTTAACTGAATTTAATATATTTTTTCAATCTTATATGTGATATTATATATGTGTGTACACATACATAAATGTATATCTATATACATATATAAATATACATATATACACACGTATATCTATATACATATATATACACATACATATATATACATACACACACACACACACACACACACACACACACACACCTGTGTGTATATGTGTGTGTCTATGCAGCTAGATGGTAGAGTGGATAGCACTCCAGGCCTGGAATCAGGAAGACCTGAGTTTAAATCTGGTCTCAGACACTTACTAGCTATGTAACCCTGGGGAAATCACTGAACCTTGTTTGCCTCAGTTTCCTCATCTGTAAAATGAGCTGGAGAAAGGAATGGCAAACCACTCCAGTATCTCTGCCAAGAAAAAGCTAAACAGGGTCATGAAGAATTGGACACAACTGAAAAAATAACTGAACAACAATAAAATATATTATATTTTCTGTATTTAAAAGCATTATTCTGAGGAATCCACAACACTTCATTTTCCAAGGGGTCCAGGGCAAACACACACACACACACACACACACACGCACACCCCATAGGTTAAGAAATCCTAATGTAGGGTATTCAACTAGTCATCTCTCTCTCTCTTAAAAAGAATGATCATAGACACATGTCACAGGTGAGTTTTTAAAAAGGTGAAAGAAAAAAGGCTTAATTAGAGAATTTTCAGTGTAGTGTGATAGAAAAAGTATTAGATTTGGAATCTGAAATCCTAGATTAGAAATCTGGCTCTGTTACTTACTACTTGTGTGACCTCAGGCAAGCTATTTAAACTTTCTGGGTCCCAGTTTCCTAATCTATAAAATGGTGAAGTCTCACTCTATCTCTCTAAAGTCCCTTCCAGCTCTTAATCAGAATATTTATAGCAGCACCCTCTGTGATACAAAGAATTAGATTGGAAAAGGTCTCAAAAATTGTCATATGAATGCAATGGAATATGATTTTGTAGCACTGTCCTCTTGGAATACTTCTCAATTCCCACTCAAATAGATAGAGTCCTCAGAAGGCAACTGCTTCTTATTCTCATGGTTCTATGTGAAACCCTGAGGGTAATTGGTGTTTTTAGTAGTCTTTCCTGAGCCCCCACCACTGTGCTCCCATTGAGTGTCAGCCTGACTTTATTAGTATTCTGAAAAGGCATTTACTGATCAGAAACAGCAAATCATTTGTTACAGAAAAATCCCCCCAAACTGGGGAATAAACTCTCATTTGGAATTCCCAAGGTCCCTAAGGAAAATGGGTTCAAACTTAGAGAACACATGTGGTCAAACAGTAAACTTTAAGTTTTTTCATCCCTTTTTGGAGTCCTCATGAAGTTCCCCTCAAGTGTTGCTTTCTGCAAGGCTCTGAGGTCTAGTGCCTTTGTAGTATTCCCAATCTGTCTTTTCTCAGTGTATCTAGTTTATTCTCAGTGTATCTCTCAGCTCCTAATGGAGATGCTGCCATTTGCCACTGCAATTCAAGGGGTAATGCTCCTGGTTCTGATGGATACTGCTACTGTTGCCAATGGAAATAAATGCCAGGTAGTCTGAAGTTCACAAAGTTAGCCTGGTTAATGTGTGTGTGTTGGGGGTGGGGGGCGGTTAGGAAGGAAACTTGATCCTCCCTCCCTAAGGTAAATTTGCTCTTGAGAGATTAACTGGCTGCTTAAATAGTCAAATTTCCAGAGTGGCTTGCTGTTTTATCCAAAGCTCCACAAAGCATAACAGATACTCTTTAAACAAATACAAGATGTTTTCTGTACGGTTTCATACACATTCATCGAAAGGCTCAAAGCCTCTATGGTCCTTTCAGTTCTATTAAAGTCTTATTCATATCTTGTTTACTTTTGATTGATTGGTTTGATCAAGATATATGAGCACTCTGTGATGATTAATTGGAGTGGTGATGCAGCCTCACCCTTACCAAAAGGGAAGAAAAGAGGAGAGTGGGAAGATTTTTAAGTAGATTCTTTTTTAAAATTTTATTTATTTATTTGTTTTTAGTTTTCAACATTCACTTCTATAAGATTTTGAGTTCTGAATTTTCTACCTGTCCCTCTGCTCCCCACTCCCGAAGACATCATGTAATCTGATATAGGCTATACATACAAAATCATATTAAACTTATTTCCACATTAGTCATGTTATAAAGAAGAATTAGAACCAAAGGAAAAAACCGTGAATGAAAAAACCAGAAGAAACGAGAGAAGAGAGAGAGAGAGAGAGAGAGAGAGAAGAGCGAGAGAGAGAGAGAGAGAGAGAGAGAGAGAGAGAGAGGGAGAGAGAGAATAGTATGCTTCAATCTGCATTCATACTCCATAGTTCTTTCTTTGGACGTGAATAGTATTTTCCAACATGAGTTTTTTGAAGTTCTCTCAGATCCTTGCATTGCTGAGAAGAGCTAAGTCTATCGAAGTCAGTCATTGAACAGGGTGGCTGTTACCGTGTACAATGTTTTCCTGGTTCTGCTCATTTTGCTCAGTATCATTTCATATAAGTCTTTCCAGGTTTTTCTAAAGTTCTCCGGCTCATCATTTCTTACAGCACAATAGTATTCCATTACATTGATATACCACAACTTGTTCAGCCATTCCCCAATTGATGGACATCCCCTCATTTTCCAATTCTTTGCCACCACAAAAGGGCTACTATAAATATTTTTGTACACATGAGTCCTTTTCCCATTTTTGTGATTTCTTTGTGATACAGTCCTAGAAGTGGTATTGCTGGGTTAAAGTTTTATAGGCCTTTGGGCATAGTTCCAAATTGTTCTCCAGAACGATTGGATCAGTTCACAACTCCACCAACAATGCATTAGTGGTCTAATTTTCCCACATCTTCTCCAACATTTAGCATTCTCCTGTTTTGTCATATTAGCCAACTGATAGGTTTGATGTGGTACCTCAAAGCTGTTTTAATTTGCATTTCTCTAATCAATAGTGATTTAGAGCATTTTTTCATATGACTGTAGATAGCTTTAATTTCTTCATCTGGAAACTGCCTGTTCATATCCTTTAACTATCAATTGGAGAATGATTTGTATTCTTATAAATTTGACTCAGTTCTCTATATATTTTAGAAATGAAACCTTTATCAGAGATACTCACTATAAAATTTGTTTCCCAGCTTTCTGCTTCTCTTCTAATCTTGCTTGCATTGGCTTTGTGTATTCAAAACCTTTTTAATTTAATGTAATCAAAATTATCTATTTTGCATTTCATAATACTCTCTATCTGTTATTTGGTCATAAATTCTTCCCTTCTCCATAGATCTGACAGGTAAACTATTCCTTGCTCTCCTAATTTGCTTATTGTCTTTATGTCTAAATTATGTACCCATTTTGACCTTATCTTGGTACATGGTGTAAGATGTTGGTCTATGCCGAGTTTCTGCCACACTATTTTCCAGTTTTCCCAACCATATTTATGTAGTGATTCTGAGAAAAATAAACAGAACCAGAGAACAATATTGTTGTTCAGCTGTGTCTGACTCTTCATGACCCTATTTGGGTTTTCTTGGCAAAGATTCTGAAGCGGTTTTCTATTTCCTTCTCCAACTCATTTTATAGTAGCATTTAGTTAAATTGTACTAGTCAACAATATCTTTGAACAGAAAAGATAAATGACCAGGAGAAGTAACTTCTAGTTACTGGAAGTAACTAACCACAGGAAGATATGTACCAAGGAAAAGAAGGTTTGAGGGTTTTGAAAGAAAGGTTAGAGGCTAGCAAATACAGCCTCGCCAGGAAGGAAATCATTGAGGCTGCTATCTCTCAGAGCAATCTGTCTATTTGCTGGTATGTCTGTGTATCTATAACTGAGTATACGTATGGTATCTATGCCATTTTATTAAGATTGCTGTTTGAAAATTGTGCACATGAAACTTAGAAGGAAAAATCTCTCTGCGTCTTGTAATCTGTTTTTTGTTGTTATTGTTGTTATTGTTGTTGTTTTATTTCTGAGCTCTTTAATCCTTCACCAAGTCTTTCTTTCTCTTTCCATTCCTGCAGTCTGAGAGCACTTCATGGGAGTTCAAGGGGAGAGATAGAGAAGAATTTTTCCCTTCCAAACAGCAGAAATTTATGGAAAGGGTGAGTGAATGAATTTGTGTGCTCTGTTTTGTATCTGCATTGTGTCCTAGTTTGTGTCAGAAGGTTGCAACCTATAAGATTTGTAAGTCATTGGCAATATTTAAAACCCAGGTGCATTTCCTGGACTGGTCCCTTCAAGGAAGATCTCTCCAAACAGGATTGGGAGATTACCTTTGAAGGTAATTGTGCTTAGCCTTCAAGGAACACCTTCATTTTTTTGAAGGTGGTAGGAGGGTGCACCAGTTGGATGTCCTACACCTTGAAGGGCTGAGGAAGTCCTATCTTCCTACCAATATGGATGCTGCGTTGTTCCTTAATGTGGAACTCTCCACAATTTTTGTTTTGGAGAGTTGAGAAAACTGTATTTTCTAGCCTGTGAGATTTGGTGGCCATACTCGTGGTGATTTTCTTGTTCCAGGGATTAAGGGACCCAGTGCCATGTCACTGCTTGGTGCTCTAGTCAGTAAGGTCTTACAGGGACGTGATATCAAAGAGCAAATTTGATTTTTTAAAAATATGTAATTGTGTATATGAGTCTTTTAGCCTGGGTGATGTAATAGTGTGGTCTCAGGCAACACCTAATAAATCACCACACTGAGAATAGCTACATGCTTGTGAATTCTATCTTTTTTTTTTCAGCTGAAGATTGTCAGTGGGGCTTAAAACCTCCAAACAGAAAGGGTGATTTATCAGACAAGTAGGGTAAAATATTCGGGAGGCTGGTAGTTGCAGCCTCACATTACAATTACTATCTCATACACCTTTGAATGCATGTCTGCTTGTCTGTGTGTTTGTTCTGAGACTGTGTGTTCAAGTTTGTTTGTTTTTAACATAATGGGAGCTAAAAGTACTTATATTTACTTTTTAAAGGGATGTTTTTTCCTTGTTTCTCTCTCTCTCTCTTCTCTCTCTTTGTTTCTCTCTCTCTTCCCCCCCCCACATTTTAGCCACAGCCTAAGTGACAGATAAGACAAATTTAGATAAGAGGGAGTCTTTATTTTGTGGTGTTTAAAACTAATTAGAAACTAAATCTGTGACTGAAATGTAAGCTTGCTACCTATGCATCTCCAGATTTTGTTTTAAATGCTTTTATAAATGTTGAAATATTATACTGAGATCTGGATTTCAGGAAATAAGAACACTCCTCTCCCAATGACAGATTTATTGTTTCACAGCCAAGAAAAAAAGATCATTTTTCTGATTAGAGAAAATTTTGTAAAGAGCATAGTGAAGTAATAAAATACAATAAAATACAATAAAATAAACTGCATCTTCATGTGAATTATGCATCTAACTGCATATCAGTGTTATTTGAATAAACCAAATTTTTTGTAAGCTGTTAAAGAGTTTTATAATTGCTAAACACATCTTAAAGGATTTTGGGTGCTTCCACCTATTGGTGAATAAGAGAATTGCCAATTGTTCAACAGTTTGATATAGGCATATTAAGAGTCAGTATTGCACCTTGAGGATAAAAGTCTTTAAGAAGTCATTAGTTTTGTTTAACAACTATACTCAACTTTTAAAGGAGAAACTCAGAGAAGGAAAGATGAATGAGATAGTCTGAGATACTTGGAATAAGAAGGAAGGAAAACTTTGGAAGTAATACGAAAAGGTATGGGTTTTCCAAACACAAGATGTATACCAAGGACAAGAAGGTTTGAGTATTTTGAAAGAAAGATTACAGGGAAGTTTTGGCTTTGTTTAAGTGGGAAGGTTGTGAGAAACTTTGTGAATTTATTTTATAAGGAGCTGTAGTAATAAACAATTGTACCTTGATTTGAAAGTAAATAGAGAAAAGTTATAGAAGGCTAGGAGTATATTGATAAGCAATGGGTTCATTCTGAGATTGTAGGACCAGATTTGAACAAATTTACAATGTGCTCTCAAATATGATAATTGGGGTGGATCAAAACCTCATATCAGACAGCCACTTTAAAAATCTTTGGTAGTGGATTGGCTGGAAATAGTGGATTCCAAATATGAAATGCTGGAAATAAATGGTCCCTGTAAAAAATAATGCTAAATAATTGAAATTATAAATGCAGATTCTGTGTGACGCCATTTGGAAAATAGATGCAGGTACAATTGAATTTATTCTGATCTCCTTGTAAATGCAATGTGTGTCTCCTAACAAGATGCTTATGGTAAGTCAGAATTTATTCCGCTATCTGGCATTATTACGGAGTTTGTCCTTTGTCCTTGAAGGGAACAATGACATCAGAGGGATGATGACATGACTTGCAATTGAATTTGTTTTGAGTGATGGAGGGCTGTGCAAAGTCACCAGCCTCGCTTTCTCCCCCAGGGCTCTGGGTCCAGTGGTCAGATATCAAGCAGGATAACTAGATATGTCCCAGGATGTAAATTTGGCATTAAGACAAATTGGGAAAATGCATGGATCTGGAAATTTGTTAATTGTGTGATATCAAATAAGATATCTTAGTTTGCCAATTTATAACATGAATAAAGAAAATTCCTAATGTAAATATGATAATTAATTTTAGTAGAACTGTTGCTAAAATGGTAAACCTTGGATTCTGCTGGGTTATAGATTAAATTGTTTTTAAAGATGGTGGAAATTGTTTGAAACCATTCATTTAGAAATGCAATAGATGATAATATTTTTACTGTGATTTTTATATAGCAGAAATCTCCTGGGGGCAGCTAAGTGGCACAGTGGATAAAGCACCAGCCTGGAGTTAAGAGGACCTGAGTTCAAATCCAGTCTCAGACATTTAATAGTTGTGTGACCCTAGGCAAGTCACTTAAACCCAATTGCCTCACCAAAAAAAAAATAATAATAATAATTTTTCTTTAGGATTTGAAATGCAGACTCCTGAGATCTTATGAAATAAGGCATTTTTTTAAACAACAATGGTTTATCTTATTTATCCTAGCATATTTTGAGTTAACCTAACACTGAATTTAAACAGGTAAAACCTTTTTGTCTTAATGTGTTTTCATTTGTCTATGTAATGTGTTACTTTTTGCTAATTGGGTTTTTGGTGAACTGTGTTTTGTGCTAATGACTTTCCAGACTTTGAAGATTGTGGATTCAAAAGCCACTTGTGGTACTATGAATGTTTTCCTGTATGAAGATAATTTGGAAATGCATTTCATTGAATCAATATCATTTGATCAGTATGGAGTTTTATTTCATGTCTTAAATTCATGCATCATGTTTCTAAATTTTCTTGTATTGTGAATTCTAAGAAACCATTGTATATAAGAAATGCTGTTAAGGGTATGGTAATTTTATGTTATTGGAGATTTTAACTCCTTTTCATTTGAATACTGTGGAATTACTTATTAAGTAATTAGAGGCTATTATCATAATGTTAAAACTCTATTAAGCATTTAATATAGTCTAAAAGAGAAAGAAAAAAATTGTTCACTTTATAGAAAAGGAGAATGGAAGCAAGATCTTAATTGAAAAGAACCACAAACCCTCCTTATTTGTAAACCTGCCTGCTTCATTAAGGTCATGAATTATTATCAGCCCTGTGAAAGACCAGGGAATGGGATCCTCCTTCCCCATTACAAACACTTCTTGAATAAAGTGAAACATTTTTTTAAAGTGTATTTATGGCATAGAAATGATTTGTGGTTATGATAAGTATGAGTTATACTTGGAATGGTCTGTACTGAACTTATATCTTTAACCAACTCAGTCTTGGCAGACTCCAGTCCTAGGAATATTTTTACTTCAATAATTTATTGTATTTTAGTAAGCTGCCATGTATTCACTATCTATGTGAGTTTACAGAATATGATTACTTTATTAAATTCTAAGGACTGCCTTTTTGCTTCAGGATGAGTTTTAAACTATATCGGAGAAGGAGAAATGCTAGAAGGGAAGAACGTTAAGTAAAATCTTTTGTGTGATTTTTTTTAAGACAAATTTTTATTTGCTAGAGGACTTATTGCAACACTTGTAGAGTGCAGATTAATATTACATACAGATCTACTGTGATTACTAAGACTTTGCTGTTTGAAGTGAAACCTTTTGGGACCCTGAATTTTCTTTTTGAGTTTCATTTTTAGGTCTGTTGTGTCCTTGAGCCAATGTTTCACTGCTTCATGAAAAATCCCCGCAGCTCAATGGGACTGACATCTGAGATGGCCAGTAGATGTCTGCACCTGGGAATAAGGTAGGGAGGGAGACCTTGGGAAGGCTAAGGTAGGACCCTCTTCATTCAGTTTCCCATATAGGAAATCTTCCCACCTGATTAACTCTAAGCCTGGCTATGGAATATACTTTGCTGCTTATATTATTCTTACCTGAAATCCAATGGAACTGAAGATGCTTTATCCTGTCTTCCTCCCTCCCTCCCACCCCCAGCTAGGCCATGGGGTTAAGTGACTTGCCCAGAGTCATTCATGCAGCTAGTAAGTGAAGTGTCTGAGGCTAGATTTGAACTCAGGTCCTCCTGACTCCAAGACTCAAGCTTTATCTACTGTGCTCCTATCCTGTCTTACGTGTGCTAAGTCATTCTGTGCCTGGAGGACCAGTATTGATACTGTCCTTGCTTCTTCCTCTCATGGCAAAATCTCTAACCAGAGCAAGTTAAGCTTTGATTTTTGTGATGAATCTTGTTGCTACAATACTTGAGCACCTCTTACTGTTTTCAGTTTGAGGCTATAGTCAATGCCGTATCTGGCACAACTAAGTAAAAGATATTTGGCCTTGTCATCTGCATGTTTATTGTCATCTATGTGTGTTGGAAAAAGTCCTTAAGCTTTTTGTAGAATAATTAGACTATGTTCCTGGCACCAAAATATGACTGTTAATTAGTTCATATTAATATCAGAAACATCTTCAAATTTGTTTTAAAGAAAAGAATTTCAGTGCAGTCAGTTTCCTTAGAAGAGAGTAACTTGTGGAATATCTTGTGTTATCTCAAAGGAGAAGTCAATTTTATTTGGGCTTATTATTTAATTGGAGTTAATATCTTTTTGTAGAGCATGTCCTAAGGTACAAACATGTTTTACTATAGACAACTTATTTGATATGCCAGTTTTACAATTGATCATTTAAAATTGATTTGGGGGCCTTCCCACACATATAGAATCATATTCATAGGCATAGTCTAATATAAGTGAACTCTGAGTTATCATTTTTAATGTTCATCTTTCACCCTCAATGTTCTACATGCAGAAAATATCCTTGACCACAAACGTCCTTTATCTTATAGCATGTAACAATGAGACAGCCCAATAATCAATAAATTGATTATTTAGTTGTTGTTGTTTGTCCTTCTAAATTGATTCCATCCCAGGACTTTTTGTTATAATTGAAGTTGACTTATTAACCTTTAAGCAAATTCATTTGTGTTTTAGAGATCATCTTCTTATAAAAAGTGTTGTTACCTGTGTTTTCTTGTAAGAATTAGATCCTTATCAGTCTCTGCTTCTCCGAAGGGGGAACTGGAATTGGACTGAATTGAAATAAATTGAAATTAAGTGGTATTTAAATTTGGAGTTCTAAATAATTAATTGTTAAATTAAAAAATTAAGTAAAAATTTTGAGAAAACAACACTATCAAATGAATATATATGTAAATTAGAAGGAAGGTTTTAAGAGTTTTGCCTTTGGTGGTATTTTAAAATATTTAGCCTTTGATTTTTCAGCTTGTATTTTAATTTCTTAAATATATCATCATAAAAGTTTTCTAACTTACATCATAGAAAGTTAAATGATAATGGAGTCAATGCTAATTTAGAAAAGTACTCAGCCCTAGTTTATAATATCTAAATCTTTAACCAGAAGGACTCATTTGCAAGTCAGATTCTCATAGATATATTTTTAAAGATTCTTCCTTTAGACAGTTACTAGCTGTGTTTATGTCAAGTACAAAGTTTAGATAAAGATAGAAACAGCAAGGGCTGTTTAAAACTGAAATTCCAGTGAACTATGGGTTCCTATTTTATGTTATCAGAACCACAAGATTTGAGCTGGATTTAACTAATTATTGGAGAAGTAATGTTTAAGAGGTTGGGCTAAGTTATGTTGAGATCTGTTTTGTAAAAAATTGTTAGCAAGAACATCTGATGATCTACACACAATATGGAACCAGAGAAGGAGATCTACAAAATTGGAGACCAGTTCAGAGCCTCCCCAAAGATCTGTAGAACTTACAAGACCTGATGACTGCACGGGACATCTGAGATTCAAAATGACACATACTGACAAAATGGTCACGTCTGTTACTGGGATACTAGGAGACTTGATGTTAGTTAACGTTAATGGTCATCCGAGGTTCTACTGCCCCCTTCTCAAAAAGAAATTACTCAGTGCCCCCCTGGAAATCTACTTTTTTTGGGGGGGAATCTACTTTCTTTAACTCTTTAACAGTTCTTTTGAAATTTGCATCATTTCCATATATATTTTTTAAATGACACATCAAATTTAGTAATATATTATAAATTTATCATTTTTTCCTGCATTGAAATTTTGATGATGCAGTATTGCATCATGTAATTACATGGTGTTGTATTGTAAACAAGTCATTACACACACATATTCCTGCAGATGCACACTGGACTTCCCAATAGCTCTCAACATGTTTGCCTGCCAGTACGTGCTTGTTAACACCTGTCAGTGGTCTTGACTGCTTATAAATTATAACTTGCGTTTTGTGTGTTTATTTGGAAAATAATGTAATCACTACACTGTTAACTGTTACACAACAGATGAAACATGGATGAACAATTTTTCAAAATCTTCTTCTCTTCTTTCTTTACACTTTCACCACTCCCTTACTTTTATTCAATGCCTCCCAATTACACCCAAGCCTACTACCACCCACCATCTTTCCAACGCACCCCAATTCATCATTGTATTTCTTTAGCTTTCTGCTTCCCAAGCTCTGTTTGCTGAGCTTTCTTGGTTATCTTGGAGACATGGAAATCTCCCTTCTAAATTCAGTCCATTGTTTTAGTTATTTTTACTATGACTTGTGCTATTGTTAATCAATCTTGTTATTCTTTTTCAGCTTTGCATTTAAGCCTGTTCAGAATTTCCATCTGAGAAATGTGTGCTTGCATGCCCTACTGTTGATAATGATTATATTAAAGATCTTATGGATTAGATTGTAGATAATAGATCAGTAAGAGATATTTTTGTCTCTCATGATCAAATGGTGGGGATTGAGAAGATTAAAATTGATCCTGTATCATTTTCTTATTGATCCTATTTACAAGTAATTGATTTTGTCCTGTAACTACTTAAGTTGTGGTTCTTTGTCTCTGAACTTGGTTCAGAGTTCACTTGGCCTGTAATGGGTTAAATTTTAAAATCCAGCTCTCCTGTCTCAAGGAATTTAACTGACCTTGGAGAATGTGGGGGTTTGGGCCTGATAGCTTTATTCCACCAAGAATCCTCCAAGTATGTCTGGTTGGCTGTCCAGAAGTCTGGGCCACTATCTCATACCTGAACTCAGGCAGCAAACACTTCTTACTTTCATGAGTGAAGGTGGAGGAGAGGTTCATTGCTAGTCCCTGTAACCAAACCATTTTTCTTCTTTTTATTAATTTAATATTTTATTTTTCCCCAGTTATATGTAAAAACAATTTTTAACATTTGTCTTTAAAACTTTGAGTTCCAAATTCTCTCCCTTTCTCTCTCTCCACCCACCTCATTGAGAAGGCAAGTAATTCTGTATAGGTTACACGTGTCATTACCAAACTTTCAACCAATCATGTTGCCCTTAATTCCATGATGTCATCTGCCCTGCTCTGTTCTTTGTCCTGTACTCCTCTAAACCCTGTATGAAGCTGTACTGCCCCTTTGCATGGGGTCTTTGACATTAATGGAAGCAAGCCATGGACCCATTCATTGACAGGCAGCATGTCCCTGCTAATAAATGTTGTCTTGTGTAGAGATCTGCCTCAGTTTACTCCTTTGTTAAAATCTCAATCACGATGCAACTAAGGTTGTCAGTAGGGTGGTATTTTGTTGTTGGTGTTGTTTGTCCTTCATTCTCGAAGAGGACCAGGACATCAGGATGGTGATGCCATGATATGCAAGTGAATTGGATTGAAGTGAGGAGGGCTGTGCAAGGTCACCCACCTCACTTTCTCCTCCGGAGCCAGCTGGGTCCAGTGGCAAGATATAGATCAGGACAACTGGAGATGACCCCTGGGATGGACAGTATTTTAACTCAAAGGGTGAAACTAATGCTAATTATTTCCAGTCCTCTGATGCCCCATAAGAATGATTTGGGGGCTTCCCACAGATAAAGAATCATATTCATGGCGTAGTCTAATATTATCATTTTTAGTGTTCATCTTTCACCCTCAGAAAATATCCTTGACCACAAATAACCTTTATCTTATAGCATGTAACAATGAGAAAGTCCAATAAATTAGCCTATTCTAAGAAATGTTGATTCAGGACCTCACTAAATTACAGATGCCTGACTCTTAAATATCATATACATAAAAAAAGTCCAATCTATTCCGATTCAAGAAAGCAGCAATGAAGGAAAACTGTCCTAAGCTGGTAGCTGGTGTAGATGACGTTTTGGTCCGTTCTCTCTTCCCTGTCACTTCCATTATTCCTTCTTTGAGTCTTAACACGTGCCTCCTCCTTTTCTTTGTCTTGTTACTGATACCCATTTAATTCTGCCTCATACAATTTCTTCCAAAGTTATTTCAGCAAAATTGTTTTCCTTTTCTCTTTTTCCATACCATCTTTAAGCCAAAAAAAAACCCCTTTAAATATAGTGAATAAGTTTAATTCTGGAGCTTGTTTTATATCTTTATCAAAGAAAAGGCACACTGAATTATGAAGTGAAATAAAATTTAAGCATGAATATTATCAATCTTAAAGCTGGTGAAAGCACCTCCAAGAATTTCTAGTCACCATCAGCTTTCTCATTCTTTTCTAATTAAACGTGACTCAGTTAAATGCCACCATTGATGGTGAGATGGATAAGATGGATAGAGAGTATCATGGAAACAACGTGAATTTGGACAGACTCTGAGAGACAGTGGAGGACAGAAGGGTTTGGTGTGCTGTATTCCATGAGGTCACGAAGAGTTGAGCCCAACTAAATGATTGAACAACCATAATTTCATTAAGAATAATATTCAAAGGAAACTAGAATTGTATTCTCACTCATTGGACCCTAACTTCTTAAAGGTAACAAAAACAGAACACACACACACACACACACACACACACACACACACACATACAACAAATTTCTCTAACAGATCTAGAAGAAAATTTTTTGTCATAAATATTCAAGGGGCTATGGACTGAATCAATGATTTCACAGGTGAAGGGAGCTCCCATATGAAGAAACTCTACCAATGTAGATCCACACCTTTCCTGAAACTTAGGAATTCTAAGAGTCGTCTGGAGCCCTGAGAGTTTCAAGTGACTTGCCAGTATCACACAGGAAATATGTGTCAGAGGTGAGACTTGAACTCAGGTCTTCCTTCCTCCAAGGTAAGTTCCCTATCCTTTACACTGTTCTTGTTGTCTCTCCATTTTCACAAATACTCACATTTCAGCTCTATCATCCAGGAAAGTACCTTGCTGGAAAGTACCAATCACACTGAATAATTATAATTTCAGGTCTTCAATTTTATAGTCCTTGATGTAGTAAAGGTTGAATCAGTACTAAAATGACCTAAGCAAAACACTATACTGTCTCTCTATGCTCACAAATACTCATATTTCAGCTTTATCTGTCATCCAGGAAAGTACCTGGTTGGAAAGTACCAATCACACTGAATAATTATAATTTCGGATCTTCAATTTTATATTCCTTGATGTAGTAAAGGTTCAATCAATACTAAAATGACCTAAGCAAAAGCTAGTGTTCCAGTGCTCGTTCTGTGGCTTCCTTGGAATACTCTAACACTTTTGAGATTTAAAAAAAACAAAAAAATTCCATACTCACAATGCACTTCTATGAAGTCACCATTCATAGAAGAGGTTCTGACCATGAGAAGCAGACACAGAATGAATCTAAGTCTTTGACATTTCCCCAATGAATTAAACTTGCCTATTTTCAGTCGATGGCCCCTCCTTCCTCCTAATCACCCTGGGTCAAAACATGGGGATCATGTTCAACCCCTTCCCTAACTCCTACCTTCAGCCAGTTGCCAAGCCCAATCATCCTACCCCCACCTGTCACTCTTGAATCCAGCTCATCCTCACTGCTAAGCCTGCAGCAAGGTCTCCTCATTTCTCCTCTGGATAATTTTGACAGTGCCTTGCACATAGTAAGAACTTAATAAATACTCTTTGGTTGAATTCAGTTAACCAGCCTCTTAAGTAGTCTCTCTGCCTCCAGACTCTCCCCTCTCCAATTTGTCCTTTATACCAGTTGATATAGTAATCCTTTTATTCATTCATTCATTCGTTTGTTTGTTTGTTTTTTTATTTATTGGTGTACCAAAATCTTTATTTGATTTCTGGCAGCCTCTTATTTTTTGGCCATTGGAGCAGCTGTTTTCTGAGCAGGTCCCTTCTGGGTGGGTCCCTGCTTGGCTTGGGCTTTCTGACTCTTATGACCCTTCTGGCTGGGGGTGGCCTTCTGACCCTCAGCCTTCTCCGAGGGGATTTTCTTGGAAGAGACCTTTGCGGCCAGTGCCTTCTGGGCAGCTCCCTTCTTAGGAGACCACTTCTGGGTGGATGCCTTCTGGAGCTTCTTTACATCATGCTTGATAATTTGGTTTCTCATTTTCTTGGCCTTCATGACTTTGCAACGGTCAAAATCTGTCATCTTAGCTTTGCTTTCTCTGGTTTCAATATTCTTGGACCATCTTGTGGCTTCCCATTTTGTACTGATCTTTTCTTTCTCCCAAGCAGCCTGGACATACTTCTGATGAGCACTGTGTGGGAACTTGAGCATGAAGTCTGTAAGTTGCCTATATTTAAATGGCATGGCCTGCCTCCTCACACCACTGCATGAGCCATCAACCAAAGCCCTGTTCTGATCAATAACATCCACAATAGCTACCAGCTTGCCAGCATGTGGCCCAAAGGAAATGTAGGCCACCCAGCCAATTTCCATATAGCACTTGAATACCATGTTGGCGGCACCAAATGAGAAGGCTATACGAATCCTTTTAAAGCACAGGTCTGACTGTGCTGGACTAAGAAAGACCTGAATTCCAATTTGACCTCAGATACTAGCCATGTGATCCTGGGGAAGTTACTTAAGTGCTGTCTGCCTCAGTTTCCTCAAATGTAAAATGGGATAATAATAGTATTTACTTCTGAGAGTTGTTGTGAGGTTCAAATAAGATAGTGTTTGTTTATGTGTGTCTTCCTGTCTCTGTGTGTGTGTGTACATATACGTATATTAGCTATTATTATCAATATGTGTAAGAGGAATTAGACTTTTTTACTTGGTCAAAGAGAGAACTAGGGGCATTGGATGGAATAAATTGCCAAGAACAGTCATCAGGAAAAAGCTTCCAAAGTCCACAAACATTTTTTAAGCATCCACCGTGTGCCCTAGGCACTGTGCTAATAATGTGCTAATAATCAAGGCAAAATTAATCCCTGCTTTTAGGAGCTCACAGTCTAATGTTGAAGGAGCAGAGCTGTCTAAAAGTGGTATGGGACCCTTCAGGAAGCAGTGAGCGGCTTTCACTAGGGGGCCTCAACCAAAGACTGGGGAATCGCTTGTTGGCAAGCTTGTGAAGGAGATTCCTTGTCAGAGGCGGGTTGGGCTGGATGGTCACGGAGGTCCCTTCCAACTCATGCTTGGAAACATCTCGCGGCTCGCCATTGCTGGAGCGCTCACGTACCGTCTCCCTTCGGTAGTTTTATCCTAGGACTGAAGGCAGAGCCTGGCCTGTAGTGGTAAGCACTTAGGCCATGCTCGTTGATGCACTGACTAATAGCACCGGGACGTCTGTGTCTAACCTAGCTTTACAGTCTTCGTTCACTGCTTCTCTTCACAAATTCTGTATATGAGACAAACTGGACGAAAAAGCTACTTTCCAATCTCATCCTGCCACGTCCTGTCTCCTGTCTCCTTCCTCTCTTTCTCCAGGAGCTCACCCTGCAGCGCCCTCCACTCCCCACCCCTCCTTAAGCCTCAAACAGTTTGCATTCTTTGCCTTTGAAGCTTCGAGCTTGGATTTGAACTCAGTTCTGTGACCCCAAATCTGGTGCTCTTTCCACTCTGATGACTTTGTTTTGTTTTAGCTCATAATAAAATGCTTCTCAGTGGGATGAGATCCTTACAAGCAAAAGTTTTATTCAAATGGAAGTCCCGGATGCCCACCCCACCCCCATTTTGCCTATTCTTCCTTCAAGGGAATGGCAGCCTCCCCTGGAACCGGTCTTCCCTCCTGGCCCCGGGGTCTCACGCCTCACGCCGTCGCCCCTGAACCCAATCTCACCCAGTCTCTCGTTCCACCCACCCTGGAAAGAAAAAGATAAGGGCTGAGAGAGGGGGAGACCGTTGCTCGGGCCCATTGTGCGCCGCAGAATTTGTCCTTTATTAGCTGGGGGGATGCGAGCTTAGGGCGGGGAAAGGAAAGGGATCGCCTCAGAATCTGAGAGTGCAAAAGGACCTCGCAGGCCAAGTGCTTGGATTAGAATCACCAAGACCATAAACCCGTCAAGGGGCCATCGCGCCTTTGTCCGAAGACCTCCAGTGATGCGTCTCTACCTTCCTGAAACGGCCGTTCTTTTTTGGACAGCTCCAATTGTTCCGATTTCCCTGACAGCTCGTCTAAATTTGCCTCTCGGCGCCTCACACCCATATCTTCTAGTCCTCACCACGTAGGGCCAAGAAATGAGGGAGAAGGATGGAGAAAGAGGATGAGAGGGGAAAGACAAGAAAGGAGAGGAAAAGAGGAAGAAGAGGGTGAGGGGACGGAGAAGAGGAGGAGGGAAGAAGAAGAGAGAAAGGGAGGAGGAGAGAATAAAGGGTAAGGGAAAGAAGCAGGGGAGGTGAGCAAGAAGACAGAAAAAAGCAGAGGAGAGAGGGAAAGGGAGAGGAGGAGGTGAAAGGAGGAGAGAAAGGGGGAAAGGGGAAGGGAAAAAGCAGGGAAGGGAAGAGTTATTGTTGAGGAAATGAGTGAGACCTCGCTAGGATGGCAAGAGAATGTAAACTCTCTCATCCTCTTTTTTTTTTTTCGTCCTGAGATGATGCTGGGCAGACCAGGACTAGGGCTGCAAGTGAAGCAGCGTGGAAATCTACGTTCAGAAAGGACCCCAAGCCACCTCCTCCCACGCCGTGAGCCCTACACACCAGAGTCCTAACTAGTGCCTTTACACAAGCTGGTAGTAAGTAGTACACAGCGCTCCTCTTCCGCCAGTAACCTGCTGGCGGGGCTGGGCACAGCAGCCACGGACCAGCGTGGACCCCTCAAAGTGCTCTCAGTCTCATCCTCTGACCCGGTCCCCTCCAGTGTCTCCGCTCTGGGACGCCCCTGCTCGGGCCTCAGAGGACGTGGACATGTTAAGTAGCCTACGTTCTTCCCCAATGACCTCTAACCCCTACAATTTTCCTCTCCACTCCCCCCCAGGAACCCCAAACGCAGAGCACTCTATTGGTCCGTCTGCCAGCGTCTGATGCGTGGTCTGGTCCGACTAGCCCAGCCCAGCTCAGCTCAGCACCAAAAACTTACCAATAGGACCAGCCATCGCCATCCCCATAGAAACTGACCCTGGGCTCCTCCCCACGGGGCGGGGGGTAGGGGTGGGGGTTGTGGTGAAGGGAAGGGCGTGCTTATATCCCTGTTTCAGCCAGGCCTCAGCCCTGGAAAGGGGTCTCCCTCCCCCGACCCATACTTTTAGACCAGGGGTTCTCAGCCAGAGGACCATGGACCTCTTTCACGGTGAGAGTTGGGGGGGGGTTGTTTATGAACTTGAATGGAAAATAAATTATAGCTTCCTTTGCACTGATCTCTATAAATAAAATTTAGCATTTTCTTCAATTATTTAAACCGATGATTCAGAGATGGCTTCCCTCACTATCTTGACCCTCTCCCAAACAGCTCCTTCACTCAAGTTTGGCTTCTGCAGCCTCCAAAGCAAAGGACACGCAAGAGTGTTAAGAGCCCTGGCCTTAGACGCTGTCCAAAGCCCCAACACTAGCCTAAAGGATGCAGGCTAATTAGAGAAGGCTGAAGATAGGGAAAGTAGGGGAAAGGGGGTATGCAAGAATTTTTAAAAGAAATGAAAAAGCATCTGCATGCCTGATTGCTTTTTGGATGGTGGCTCTTTTCCCCTTCCACCCACCTGACACTTGCTGACAAGTCTGCAGAATTGATCAAGGAGTCATGGTTAAGTGTCTACTAGGGGACAGGCACTGTGCTGGGCTCTGGGGATTCAGCCCCCTCCCCGCCCCAATGAAAGGATCTTCACTGCCAAAGACATTTTGGGGACTTGTACTTCTACCTACAATATACTGACCAGTCTGCTGGTGAGAGAGCTCCATAACGGATTCATGCTGCCCATTCTCCTTCATAACTGGCAATATTAAGAAGCTTTTCCAAGCATCAAACTTCTATTTGATCAACTAATCTTTCTTCCACCAGGGTCCGCCAGATACTTGAAAACAGGATTGTATGCCTTCTAAATCTTCTTGTTTCTAGCCCAAAGACCCCCAGGCCCTTCAACTGACTGCTGTGTGGTACATCTCTGCTCCTTTGAGGTTCATAGTATCCAGAGTTACCTTCCAGTACAAATGTTGGTGACAATTACCTACTTAATCTCCAGGACAAACTCTTTCCTCTCTCAAAGAACTCAATGTTGGGATCTCAGTCTTTCCACCCCTCACCCTAAGCTTAACTCCCCTACCAGCAGGGGTCCCTTCCTGCCAGCGGGGAATCAGAGAGAAGCTATTCCTTCCTGCTCCTTCTGTTGGGGTGCTTGGGTGCTTATGCTTGGGTGTTTACGTTTGGGTGCTTGTACTTGGACCCCAATTTCTCCCTAGCCTCAGAAACATTGTCCCTTGATAATCATTTAAGATCAATTGAGCCCCAATAAGGGCCAAAACCCTAAATTAATCTTTTTCTCTCTGAGAGAACTAAAAACACCCCTTCCCGTGTCAGCAAATTCCAGGACCAAATAGAGCTGATCAGTATTCTTCCTGTTTGTTATCACTGGGCCCAGGATGTCTGGGACCAGATTCTGTCTTGAATAATGGGACTTTTCGTATCTTGAGTTTCAATTGAGAACTGACCACTCAACCACTCCCTAATCCCACCCTGAATCCCCTAGTTAGCATATTTGGCACATGTTTTATTGTATTTTATCCTATATAAACTTTAACTGTACCTCTCTAAGCTTGCAGGATCCTTTAAGAATCCTTGCCTGTTGAAAAGCATAACAATAAATCTTTGCCACCTTGAATTAAAGAATGCTTGAGTCTGTGAATTCATTCCAGATGACCCATCCTGTACTTTGGTCTTTGAAGGGTCACAACCTCTCAATCTCTCAGCCTGCAACACTTCCACCCATCTCTTGGTCTGCCTTCAAGGCTGAGAGAGAAATACTTTTCTAAAAGCTACCTGTTCTGCATTGGTACCCTCCCTTGAGCTCTCTCACAACCTGGGAGGACATCATCTTGAGGCTGAACACCTAGAGAGGCTAATAAGCCTCCTGAACTCTTTCAAAATATTCATAAACTCCCTCTCAGTCATATATTCCACATCCCAGTGAACCCAAATCCCTGGGTGTCTTCATGCAAATCACACTCTCCATCCCTCACTGCTCCCTTTTTCACATCCCCTCAACCACACAGTCTGTCCCATGCCTAAAGCTCTTCACCTCTACCACTGTGCTCTTGAGAATACATATTCTGGAGGCAGCTAGGTGGTGCAGTGAATAGAGCTCTGACCCTGGAGTCAGGAGGACCTGAATTCAAATCCAGCCTCAGACATGTAACACTTACTAGCTGTGTGACCCTGGGCAAGTCACTTAATCCCAATTACCTAAGCAAAAAAAAAAAAAGAAAAAGAAAAGAATACATACTCTGTAAGTAATAAACGTGATTTAACTTTAAGTCTTTTCCATTCCCACTGCTTTCACCTCACTGACACCTGGCTCTCTTCTGATGAGACAGCCTCCCTGGCCACACTTTCCAGCACTGTGGGCATTTTCAGTTATTCTCTGCATTTGGTGGCTGGGGTGGAGGAGCTGGAATACTC